TTAAAAGTTATGCTAAGGATTGCTTAAAACGAGATTTATCTAAATTTTGTTGTTGTTTTTTTTTTTTTTTTTATATTTTTCATGATTGGGATAGGTTTTTTTTTTCTTTTAAAAGGATATGTATACTCGTATGGTCCATTATCCCGCAAAAGTGCCAAACGCTGTCCGAAGGATCTCCATCATGGGTTTCCATTCCCCATCAATAATTTCGTATTGAAAAAAAATGTAGCTATAAACTATCAAAAAACTATATTCGACATTAATTAATAACTTGATTAAGTAACGCGAAATTAAGTTAAACATTGAAATGCCATTCGTTCGCCTTGTTTGGTAGTATCCTACCCCTCCTCCCCCCGACTTAGCCGACTTCTTGCCAAACTCTAGTTCAAAATTAGTACAATAAAATTAGAAGCTGAAAGAAGTTACCTCCTAAAGTTTAACCTCACTAATTCAACTCATCTATTTTCTATGGTTTTTATTTCAGTCACTAGATTATATTTACTTCAAATTGCAGGCGTGAATCAAGCGCTTATTTTTATTGAATATCATTTTTAAGACCATATTAAAAAACTGGTAAGACATTTTAAGATTTATGGTTTATTAATTCACCTGTTTAAAACGTGCTGAGTTCTTATATTGTTTTTACATTTATATTTTTTAAAAAATACGAGCGCTATGTCATTCGTGCGCTTTCCATTCGCCTACTCACTTTTTTTTCAAGTTAAATTACAATATTATGTCTGTCCGTATTTTATATTATATTATTATACCGCTGATGGCAGGTAAATTTATTTATTCTGTCTCATCAGCCAGAATGATGGGTTGGGAGACCCTCCTGGGGCACACCCAGACTTTATAAAGTGGGTAGTTTTAATTAAATAAGTAATTAAGGAGGGAAACCTGTTTGTGGTTGTACAGTTTTTTCTTTAATGTTGTTCTTCTTCTGATTGCGATTTTTCAGCATTACATTTATTTAATAATTATTTTAACTCTCATCTTTGGATAAATGGATGTGGCGCCTCCTAATACTTCCTAATACGAACTCATTTCTTCATTATTTTTATTTTATTATATAAATACATTCTTATACTACTGACAACTAATATTTAGTAGGAAAGATCAACAATTATTTTTTTTTAATTTTAATAAAAAACAGGTATACAAAATTTTAAAAAATCTGTAAAAAACATATGATCAAATCCGAAACATTGTAATTGTCTTATACTATAATAGATAGTAGATACAATTTCCCATAGTAACAAAATGTGCACTATTATGCCTTATCAATTCTTAATGTTCCATTAATTTATCCAGTAAGAAAAGGTTGTTGCTTGTTAAGATCAGGGTACCTCTTTTTTACCAGTTAAGTGCCTGTTTTTTAATACCTTACGAATGGTATACATACGTTAAAAATACACGCTTGAGTCACACCTGCAATTTGAAGGAAAGTTAACCAAATTAAATTTTGATAAATTGGTTTATTAAATAAATACATTCTTGTACTACTGACAACTAAAATTTAATAGGAAAGGAACAACCTTTTTCATCTATAGTATTATATTTGCAAAATAAATCAAAGTACCATACTTAAGAATATGCATGAACCACATATCATATAAAATATACGTAATATTAGATGTAGATGGAGAGATGTGTAGATAAATAAATAAAATTTAAAATAAATATTACAAATATTTCGAGCTATAGGGTTAATTTAGGACACTGCATTTATGTATGAAAAAATAAAAGCATGTACTAGAGGATACCCACAGTAAAAGAATGCAGGCCATACAGGGATCATTTCCATTACTATGCTATACTACATGAGGTATATTCAGAAATTAATGTACTCAAATAGAATACAGTTTAAAACTATTATCTAAATATGCAAGTCATATTAATGTAATGATTATAAGAATGATTATAATTATTCATTAATCATACTGAATTTAAGATAAGAATCATAAGAACATGTTTTGGATATGGTTACTACTTAATTTATAGCTTTCCAATTTATTCAAGACTGTTCAATGTATTTTGTTAAATTAGAGGTTAGTTTATTTGAACAAAAACTACACAACTATTTTAATAAATGGCACAGCACTTGTCAATCGATCAGAGATTATTTGTTTTTCTAATTCAGGGGTGACCTTCTCATAGATTTGTCCTTAATGGCAGCAGATCTCTCTTTTAAATTCTGCTTTTATTATCTATTTAGTTTTGGTATCAGAGTATTTTTAGTTAGGCTTTGAAATGAAAAATAGTTGCCCACTATTACTGTATAAGGAGAAAGTCCCACAATATTAAGGAAATTAAGAACAGAAACATTCTAAGATATTCATGGATGGGCCATTTAAAAAGAAATGCAGACATTGCTAAACAGACAGGGTTGCAATAAATTAAATTACAGCACCATACGGTGATCACTCTAACTTAACAAACAAGTGTGTTGTGGAAAATTACTTTATTATTTATTAATTGTATAAATGAGATATATATTTTATTAATGTAAATAATTTGTAAAGTATAAATAAATGTAACGATAAAGATGGTAAGACTGGTTCAGACCAATGGCAGCATGTGCATGCTCGCTTGGACATGTTAGCCAGTGGTATCCATTACAGTAATGCCCACCTTTACGATGAGTTAAAGTGGCTCTTAGCTTCTTTCCGCAGACAATATTTTGTTGGATCTTTCCTATTCCAAACGATCACCACCTGACACCATTCCTACATCTACAGTCTTCTACAGTTCAAACCCGTGGTCCACTCCCATAAAACAAGATCCCGTGTTTCCGACCTTTATATCCCTTCCCATAGAACCAAGACAATTGAATATTCCTTTATTGCCCGGTCCACTGACTTCTGGAATTCCTTGCCATCTGATAACCGCCATGCCTCTTCCTTGTTCTCATTTAAATATCATCTCTACCAATTCTTCTAACATCCCAAAATGACGTTATACAATGAAATAAATATTGCGAAACAGATTTTGACTGAGGTGAATGGTTGTTAAAATTGATTGAGTTTTAATTTTAAAAATCAACCCATGCTTACATTATTTTGTTTTGTTTTTCATTTAAATAATGTTTTTTGTTTTTTTTTCAAAATGGTGTTATTTTTACTAGTTTTAATATACTTTTACTGAGATACTGTATATTTTCTTTAATATTGATTAATGTAATTTTTGGCCAAATGTAGTTTTTATTTTTTTTTTTCATAACTGTTATTCATAAGGGACCTCGTCCCAGAATAAAGTTTACTTTCTATCTATCGATCTATCAATATGTTGGTATGAGAGGTTCTTGAACTTGAGGCACATGTTGTTTGATTCTGACAGCTTAGAATATAATTTATAGATACAATACATCATACTTCAAATTTCGCTCATTCAAATACCTCCTTTTCTACCTCCTTTACTCAGCATAGGATGATTAATATTATTTTGTGTAAAATTACATATTTTTTTATTTCAAATGTTACTTTTTTAATTTTCCAGTTTTATATTTTTGGTATTTTATTTCTATTGCTCTGGTTTTGTTTTCTTTATACGTTTTTTTTTTTTTTTTTTTTTTTTTTTTTTTTAATATTACTGAATAAGTTATTTATTGACATTGAATATAAAACATTGTGGCCATACTGTTTTGACCATTATGTGATGCTCGATTAATTTGTCCCAGATTAATAAAGATTTTTTTTTCCATATCATAACAAAGTTTTTTTTTACATTAAAGTTAAATAAAGAGTAGATGACTGATCTATTTTACTGTTATTAACTGTTAGAGTTACAGGTTTCTAGTGTAGTTTAAGTTCCTGTAAGTATTTAGTCTAAGTTAATATAGTAAAATCATAGATGTATGTACAAACAAATTTATTATTAGCATGGAAGAAACGAAAAAACTTTATTATAAATATTCTAATAAAGCCTCAGGATGTCCATTCAACATGATTAAAATGAAAATTTTATGGAAAACATCCATTTATTAACAGATATATATTGCAAAACATATAATTATTTAAGTATAAAACAATAATTAAAATTATAAACATATTTAATATCAATGAAGCCTGAAAAAAAATAAATAAAATATGTTTAAAACCCATGAAGGGTCTTGGTTTCAGTACTGTTTAGGGAAAGTACTGTTTCTTGGTCAACAGTTGTGTAAGGAGATGATTTGACCAGTATGAAACTCAACCACTATGTTTTATCTCTTAATTAGATATTTAATTAAAGATATCCACTTTATCGATGCTGGATGTGCCCCAGGAGAGTCGTCTCCCAACCCCTGGGACAATCCACGGCCGATAAAACAGATTAAATAATTTATCTGCCATAAGCTAGTACTGGAACCTGGGAACTTGAGTATAGAAGCTCAGCACCCTATCACTGAGCTATCCCATTCTTATATATATGTGTGTGTGTGTATTTTTGGTTATTTCTGAAGTGATATATAACTGGAATAAATTGAAAAATGAAAATAAAAAAGATCTATGCAAATCGAATATGCAAGTTGAGGTTACAAAGCAAAAAAAATTAACATTTGTAACTTCCAATTTTTTTTTATAAAGGCAAATATGGCCAGCAACAGCCCAAATAGTTAAAATAATATTTTAAAAAGTAATAAGAAAGGGATAAGTATTTTTTTTAAAATACCAAAAAAGTTTTAAGGATTCTTATTTATTCATTATTTCACTTCTATTTATAACATTTTATGATTTAAAAACTCACAAATATTTGATTTTTTTTCAAGAATCATGAGTTAAAAGGTAGTAATTTAAATTTAGTCAAAAATCACATCATTTAGGCAGAAAGTTGTATTATACAACAAAAATATGAATAATTATGGAATGTCGCAATAAAAAGTGAATAAATTAAAAATAATTTCTACTAATGTTCATTTTTTTTACTAAAACAACAGAGAAGTATTTTTTATACATTAAATAAGAATGGTTTCAAAATAGACTACATATTGCTAGTAGCTTATCTTGATTTAATTTTAGTTAATCAAATACTTCATTTGTAGCATTCACTGGAGTTCTTGAATATGATGATGTCTTGAACTGAATGAGAACCACTAAATAAGTGACCGTGTCTGATATGAACTGAAGACAAAAGTATGTTACTATACAATCATTATTTTTTATATATATATTTTTTAAGTTGTATGAAACAGACATACCTTGACAAACAGATGTCTATCAATGATCAGATAACCCAGGAAATGAATCACTGGTGGATTTGTCATCATAGTCTGAAGAAGAAAGGTCATCTAGCAATTTTTTAAATAAATAGAAATTATTTGTCTTATATTTTATAAAAATATATTTATTACTACTGTTAATATTAAAAACAGGTTAGAATGACAAGCCAAATTCACAGTTGATGAGCTTACCTTGATTTGGAAACCAAAGTGCCAACCATGATTCCTATTTACTGCGACCAACACTTCTTTATTCCTCATTTATAACTATGAGAATCAAGAACATTCTAAGTGACAATTTCATAAAAAGTTTTGAAGCATCATTGTACAAAGAAAAATTGTAATGAATCTGAAAAGTGCTGCCACACTTTCAGAAATAACTAAAAAAATTCTTAAATAAATGCTCCATATCCTAAATCATGGATAAGCAGATGGAAATGAAGAGTTTGAAATTCATTATAGATATTATTGATTAATGAAAAACAATACTAAAAATTTTCATAGTGTTGGTGTTACACACCAACACCTCTAGAATGGACTCTGGTACTGAATAAGAGGCTGAGCCCACTCCCATAAGGAGTGTATGTGTGTGAGTGTGCATAAAGATATTATGATATTAGACTGAGTCTCCAGCACTTAATACAAAAAAAAAACTAAGAAAGAGTGGGGAACTGTTTCAAAGAGGGATATCAGTCCAGACATTTAGATTGGGACTAAAAATGTGATGCCAAAAAGGAGTGTAGATATATAATGTATTATTTTCAAAGGTATTCTTATATGTATAAAATAACTTATTATTACAACTTACAGAGAAAGTTTTTACACATTTGAGAAATTTGTTTTACACCGCTGAGTTTATGGTAATATTTAAAACTTATCTATAGTGGATTTAAAAAAAAATATTATAGTTTATTGTTTCTAAATAATTAGAAAACTAAATTATTATATTTAAAATTATTTCATCATAAACAAAAAATGAACCTTTCCACTTAATCTATTTTCGTTAAATAAATACTGTAGTGTTTCTCATATTGAAAAAAATTATCTAATTAATAATCTGTAAAACAGGTAGCAGCACAATGCAACACTAGTCCTTTGGCGTCTAACTAGATTCCGATACTTTTTTTTTCTTTTGGACCCTAGCACAGGCCAATCAACAGGAAGAGGGGTTTCAGGCTGAAGCCTCCCAAAATGGTTAAACATAAGATTATGAAAAAAATAAAATAAAATAAATTATCTCTTAATGTATTATTGTTCGTGTAATTACATTTAATAGTACTTCTAGAATAACTTAAACACCATTTCATATAAGTAGTTAGTTTCTTTTTTTTCTAAAGTAGAACTGCTAGTGGATCCTAGTAATGTCTTATGGTTTAAGTAGCCCCAAATTACCAGGTATTTTACAGATTTAAGTTAAGGGGAATTTTAAAAATATTTAGACATATTATCTTTCTTTGCTGTCATTTATTAACTTAATATTGCAAAACTTGTTTATTGGAAATAAGTTATAATGTACCTCAAATTGGTCTCTTTGGCTCAGTGAAGAAGTGCTTAGTTCAAGTAGCTGATTGCTGAATTTCTCTCCAATCTACACAAAATGTAAACTAATTAATCCAGGCTGAAAAATTGGTTCAAAGGTTTTGTGAATTACAGAGGTTATTGTTTTAACAAAAAATACATATATATATATAAGTTATGCTGCTCTACAAGACAAACTTCTACGGCATATAGAGAAAGTCGGAAAAAAGCAAAGAAGGTTATTCAAAATAAGAAACAGGATTTTATGAAAAGGAAAATAGAGTAGATTGAGGAATTGAGGACAACAAATGAGACTAGGAAATTTTATGGAGCAGTAAAATTTATGAGTCAGGGTATTCAGTCAAAAATGACCAGATGCAAAGATAAAAATGGCGTGGTAGTGGAGAGCTATCGAGTTGTAGGTAGATGGGAAGAGCACTACATAGAATTGCTCAACTCTGGTGGTGGTGAATGTATGGTTGGTAGTGATGAGGAGGGGTGTGTTGATGACCTGGAGCCATTGTCTATAGAAGAGGTGGCTGAGACGATTGAAAAATTAAAAAATAACAAAGCACCTGGGGAGGATATGCTGGTCGCGGAATTCTTTAAGTACGGAGGGGAACAATTGATAAGCCAAATGTATTTACTGTTGGAGGAAGTTTGGAGTGGTGAAATCATGCCTCAGGAGTGGTGCACCAGTCTGATATGCCCGATATATAAAAAAGGAGATAAACTCCAATGTGAAAATTACAGGGGCATTTCTTTATTGGCTGTAACCTATAAAATTTTTTCCAACATCCTCTCTGTGAGGTTCAACGTATTTGCCGAGAACATACTGGAGGAAAACCAGTGTGGATTTCGGAAGGGGAGAGGAACAACTGATCAGGTCTTTGTGATGAGACAGATAATGCAAAAAGCCTGGGAATATAAGATTGACCTACATATGCTGTTCATAGATTACCGGCAAGAGTGATAAGAAGCAAATTAATAAATGCCTTACATGAGTCCCAAATTCCAATTAAATTAATAAGGTTATTGCAAATGACTATGAATAATAGCAATGCAAAAGTAGTTATTAAAGGCAATGTAAGCAATAGCTTTCCAATGACGGATGGGGTTAGGCAAGGGGATGCTTTGTCTGCCACATTATTTAATATTGCACTTAATAATGTGTTGAAAAAAGTGGATTCACCTGGTTGAATGGTGCAAATATGTGCTTACGCAGACGATATATGCCTAATTACCAGGAATTTAAGATTAATAAAAGAAATCTTTGCAATATTGAAAGCCGTGGGTGACAATGTTGGGCTGGAAATCAATCAAGATAAGACAAAATACATGTATGTTGGAGCCGACAATGAGGCTGGTCCACAGAGCATTGAAATATGTGGTCTTACCTTCGAATGTGTAAGAAGATTCACATATCTGGGGGTGGAAGTGAATTCTGAAAATAAAATTGCTGCTGAGGTGTACAAGAGGATCATGGGTGGAAATCGTACGTACTATACCAACCTAAAATTTTTTCGATCATCGCTCCTGTCACGAGAAACAAAGATAAGACTGTATAAGACTTTAGTAAGATCTATTGTGACTTAAGTAGTGGAGACATGGACCCTTTTTACAAGCACAATTAGTATGATGAATATTTTTGAAAGAAAAATATTGAGAAAAATTTATGGAGCTGTTTGTGAAGAGGGTGTGTGGAGGTATAGAAAAAAATGCGGAGCTATATGAATTATATAACAGCCCCAATATAGTTAATTTCGTTAAAATTAGGCGTATGGAATGGTTAGGCCACCTGTTATAGAATGGACCATAGCAGGATGCCTTATAGGGCATTGTTCTCCACAATGTATGGCACAAAAAGAAGGGGAAGACCAAGAAAAAGATGGCTACAAAATGTTGAGAGCGACCTTAGAACACTGGACGTGAGAAATTGGAAGGAAAGAGCGAGCA